TTGCGTAGGGGGGGCCCCTTCGCGGCGGGGGGGCTACCTATTCATTGGGCGGAGGGGCATTCCCATCCAGGGGGCCAGACAGGTGGAAGGGGGCTCCCTGCCTATTGGGAGGTGAGTAGGTGGAGGGACGGCCCCTGTTCCGTGGGGAGTATGGACAGGGCTCACTCTCTTCTCGGTGGGGCAGGTGAGGAAGGGGGCTCCCTATGGGGAGGGGGTGAGTCATGGGGAGGGGTGCCCCAGTCCAATGGGAGGGGGACACCCCCATGCCCTGCACTTGAGGTGGGCGTCTTATCCTTGGGGGGAGGTAGGCAGGGGAGGGGCACCCCAATCCACTATGGGGGGGCCTGTCTTCCCCTTTGCCAGCTTTCGCCCTCCACCCATGGGGGCTGTGGCCCCCATCGAGGGGCACCCTGTCCCTGGGCAGTCCCCCTCCCCACCGGTTCTCCCCAGCTCCTTCCAGGGCACTCGGGGCCCCCGGAGGGGCCAGCAGCCAGAGGGGGAAGGGCCACACCATGCTCTCCCTCCCCTGCAGTGCTGTAACCTGGCCCTGTCGGAGAGCACCAAGGACCCGCTCAGCTTTAGGATCTCGGACCTCACCATCCCCAAGCAGCAGCACGTGGTGCAGGTGAGCACAGCCGCCAGGGTGCGGGAGGGGGCCAAGCGAGAACCCCCCAAGGGGCGGCAGGCAAAGGGCTGATGTGTCCACTCCCCTCCGACTGCTGGCGTCCAAGCGGTGGCGCTGGGGGGTGCTGTGCAGTGGGGTTAGGGGGACTCTGCAATTGCAGTGAGTGTTGACCCCATGCGGCACTGGGGCGCTGTGTTGTGGGGGGAGGGTCTCTGCCCTCATAGTGCAACCCCCTTGCTAGACTGCAGGGAGTAGGGCGGGCGGCTCAGGAGGGGGTGTTCTCCCCACTGCCCCAGGGTTGAGTTCGGGCGCATTTTCCTTTTGCTGGACAGACACAGCTGAGATCCTGCCTAGTTGCAGCTGCTAAAGATCCTCTGGCTAAAAGCCAGATTGGTTTCCTCTCGGCACCTTCCTCACTCCCTGTGCATCTCCGCGCTGGGCGAGAAGCCCTTGTATCATCAGCTCCTGCGCCCCACCCCAGAGGTGGCTGCATCTCAGCTGTGGGTGTTACTTCCCTGTCCCCTCTGCAGGCCAGGAACCAGGAGGAGAAGCGGCTGTGGATCCATTACCTGAAGCGCCTGATTGTTGAGAACCACCCCGCGTCTATCCCTCAGAAGGTGAGCAGGGGAAGGGCGCTGCGAAGGGGTCTCTGTGGGGCCTCGCTCCTGTTCTGAATGGAGCCACTGGCTCTGGCAGCCTCCCTCAGCTGGTGTTAGCGCCCCTCCCAGAAGCCAATGAGGGGTGGGGCCTTGCAGGCTGTGCTCCCCTCTTAGCCCTGCAGGGGGCGCTGTGAGCTGCAGCCAGGGGGTAATGGCCCCTGGACGTTACGTGTCTCTCTTAGCCCTGCAGGGGGCGCCGTGCGCTGCAGCCAGGGGGTAATGGCCCCTGGACGTTACGTGTCTCTCTTAGCCCTGCAGGGGGCGCCGTGCGCTGCAGCCAGGGGGTAATGGCCCCTGGACGTTACGTGTCTCTCTTAGCCCTGCAGGGGGCGCCGTGCGCTGCAGCCAGGGGGTAATGGCCCCTGGACGTTACGTGTCTCTCTTAGCCCTGCAGGGGGCGCCGTGCGCTGCAGCCAGGGGGTAATGGCCCCTGGACGTTACGTGTCTCTCTTAGCCCTGCAGGGGGCGCCGTGCGCTGCAGCCAGGGGGTAATGGCCCCTGGACGTTACGTGTCTCTCTTAGCCCTGCAGGGGGCGCCGTGCGCTGCAGCCAGGGGGTAATGGCCCCTGGACGTTACGTGTCTCTCTTAGCCCTGCAGGGGGCGCCGTGCGCTGCAGCCAGGGGTGTTATGGCCCCTGGAGGGTGTGCGCCTTTCTTAGCCCTGCAGGGGGTGCTGTGCGCTACAACCAGGGGTGTAATGGCCCCTGGACGTTATGTGTCTCTCTGAGTCCTGCAGGGGGCGCTGTGAGCTGCAGCCAGGGGTATAATGGCCCCTGGACGTTAAGCGTCTCTCTTAGCCCTGCAGGGGGCGCCGTGCACTGCAGCCAGGGGTGTAACACCCTTTTCCTTTTGTTACAGGCCAAGCAAGTGTTGCTGGAAAACAATTTCCAAAGTAAGTGAGCAGCTCTGCACCCAGCCCCCCCTGCTCTCACTGCTAGCCCGCACTGCCCACCCAGAGCTGGGGATAGAACCCGGGGTCCTGACTCCTAGCCCCCAATCTCTGGTGGCCTTTGCTGAGTGAGAGGC